TATTACAACAATACATTGGCATGTCAGTAGCAAAGGCAAAGTTGAACAGTGTTTGAAGGTGTTTTGAAACAATTTGTCCACTACACCATAATTCCATAAAAAATTATATAATTCAATTGTGGAGCATGGATACAATCATGGTCAGTTCTAAATGGTGACCTGGGCTCGATTCTCCGGTTAATGGTCCCACTCCTAAATCTCATTTAGCTGGGAGTAGGCTCGGAAAATGGGGGGAGGTTAGGTGTAACACCAGCAATCCCATTCCATGGAAGAAAGAACACCACTACAACTAATGAAACTTCAAAACTTGAAGATCAGATGGGCCACTAAGAACGCAGAGGAATTCTGAAGTGGAGAGAATAACAGGTACCCACTGGTATTTAAATAAGTTATTAAAAACAACGACGACAAAAACGCTAAATGGTTATGTTCTCCACTCTAATCTACTCTACTCTACTTTTGAAGCTATTCAACACAGTATAAACCTGTACAAAAACCGAACAACTCAAAGGACGATGAAACTAGTTGTCTATCATACATATACTGTCTAATGTCTAGTTGTTCCTCTACTATAATATATCTTTGTTGATCCGTGATTCATCCACCTCGCCCAAGCCACCCCGCCCCAATTGCCCACCTCCCTTGAAATTATTTATAAAACTTGGAGGATGAACATTAGTTTACTATTCCTATTATGATATGCGAGAAAGTATTGATACACTGTGTCTATTGAAGAAAGTAGACAGAGTAGAATCAGTGTATCAATCATTCTTTTCCTAGTCAGCCAACCAGCCAGACAGACAGTAACCTCCACCCCATCTGCTTATTTTCCAATAAACTAAGGAATAATTTTGAAAAATCAATCAATTTTATCTCAGTAAACATAATATATATTACATATGTGTGTATGACCTTTTATTATAAATATTTCCGATTAAATTAATTTCTAAATTTAATTATTTTTTTGGAAAAACAAGATCAAATAAAATTATTTGATTCCAGTTTGATGGCCAATTGACGTCAGTAAGAGAACCATTGAAAACCAGTACTGGAGTGGTGGGCTCTCTTCAGCAGTGCACACCCCACTGGGGGCAGAATCTAGGACCTTCCGGTTACAAGGCGAGCTCGTGGACCATCCAGAAAAAAGGGACCCAGACCCGATGGCCAATGAATTCTTACTTCAATTAGTGAGAACTCGTAACCAGTGGGGTCTACCAGGTCGAATGTGAGGAGGACAAATGGTCGTCGATGACAACGGCTGGTAGTTGCGCTAAAATCACGAATTCGTAGAAGTAGGAATTCACGGACTAACGTACCAGGTCCGAGCGGATGAATGCTCTACCAGCACGTTTTGTAATCGGAAAGTCCAGGGTTCGACCACCCCCCCCCAACCCAGCGAGTGTCCATTGCTGAAGAGAGTCTCACTGTAGATAGAACTGTACAGTTCCTATCCAGTACACCTTGGATTTTAGTGGTTCTCTAACTGACATCAGTGTGTGATCAAGTTCGAACTCATTTCGCTAAAGATTTCGCCACGAATTAATACATTGGTTAGACAGGCGTTGAAAACTAGGGGAATAGTGAACAGCTATTTCGTCCTAGTTTGCAAGTCATCAGCGTAAAGATGGTAAAGTTATGTTTGAAGAGAAGATACTGACTGACCTTGAAATGCTGAAAGCCAATAGTAGAGATCATTACTTGTGTCGCACTTTAAGATTTTTTTCACATGAACATAAACGCAGTCATCAGTTGTTTTTTTATTTTTTGTCTCATGCATCATAAATATTTTCTTTCCCACTCAATTGTGTATTGATCGAAATTGGTTTGTAGTCTAGTAATCTACGAACCACGCCATCACTTCACTTAACATCGAAATTAGCTCCATAAATTCACAGATAAGTAAAACAACTCAAGGAAGGGACGCTATAAGCCCAACAAATGTCTCTTCTGATGAAATTAAATGTGGCTGTTTGTATATGATGTTTTTCTTATTTTCTCATCTACTTGTATTGTTATTGATTTTCTTTTGGTGACCTGAGGTTTGACCTTTTGTCCACTTGACTTCTTTTTTTTTTATCGCGTTTGACAAAACTCAACTCAACCTATATGATGAATATCAATGTAATTGAAGAAGAAGGAGGATAAGAAAAGCTCCAGAGACAACCAATCATGTTTAAACTCATCAGTGGAAATAGCTGTTACACTCATAGAGAATACCAAATATTCAGTTTCTTCTGAAGTTAGCGCTGAAAATGTTCTGTCTAGGATGCCAATGAAAGCTTAGCAATTAAACCACCACCCATCCAAGCTACAAATATTCCCCTATGTTTGACTTAAAATACCATTTTTTTTTCCTTCACGTTCCCCAGTGGAACATTGGGCTTCAAGCTAGTGGCTTGAAGTTTCTGTAGTAGTGTTCATTTTACAAGATGGGGTCGCTAGCCTCATGCCCAACCTTTCCTCTTCACCAGCATTATTTCTGGCTTAGTGAGGTAAAGGAGTGCGTCAGCCGGGGATCGAACCTTGAACCATGTGCATGGTCGGCGAGCGTCCTAACCGCTATACCACCGACGCACCCTACTATAGTCCCTCAGAATTATTTACCTACGACTTTCATCATTCAACAATGGGGGATGACCTTCAATGTTTACGCTGGAGATAGACGACTAAGTATCCTCGCTTTTTTGGCACGCTGTTATGTTACGTTCGGCTGTTCATGCAAGGTCTCTAGTTAGGTAACCAGGCATCCCTGTTCAACAGTATCCATCCTGAGATACACTTCGTCTATGGGACGACCAGAGTGCTATTCTAGTTTGGCTTTCTGGCTGTTCTCTAGTCATATAGAGCAAATACATTAGGAGAAGGGGACGGAGTCGAGGATATATACACGTATTATTACATAATTGTAACTTTTATATTTGTAGAAAGCCTTCGTTTCTTAAAACGCTAACGACAGAGCCTCGTCTTATCGCATCTGTTGATTCTTTCTTCTCAAGTGTTGGTTGGAAAGAATTCTATTGGTTTCAAAAGATTGACAGAAGACTGAAAGGAGCAATAAATAGAAGCTTCCTGGCAGCAAAACTCATAACAGTATACAACACCACTCCTTCTATAATCCACTCAAAACTGGATAAATACCATGCTGATGTCACCTCCAACTGCGTTTATGAATTTACGTGCACTTGCGGGAGCAAGTACATTGTAAGGACAGAAAGAAGGGCTTCTATCCGGTTTTCTGAACATATTCCAAGAAACCTATGCCTAAAAGGAAGCAAATATTCTCAGAGTGCAATTACCAAACATATTGTTGATACCGGACATCTCGTAGAGATTTCTAAGTCCTTCAAAATATTACATAGACAAAGGACAGCAAATTTACTACGATTTGCCGAAGCGATCGCAATCAAACGATTTAAACCAGACTTATGCATACAGAAAGAGAGTATGATTAATCTCTCACTCCCTTGGTAACTGAGTTTTGATTTTGATTACAATAATTAGTCATCTAATTCAGTGATCTGAACTCACTGAACAAATCTTAATCTCATAAACTGTAACCGCCTTTGTTTTTGGAGTTGCTATGTGAACCTACAAGCTAACACTGTTTCTGTTAATCAATTTTTCTGTTTTCTATCTTACCCTCCCCCCTCTTTTCAACTTTGAAAGCGTATAAATTGATGATGAAAACTTAAACTAAAAATTGTAATGCTTTCATTTTTTGGATGCTTCAACTTTATCTTTTCTCTACTACCACTCAAACATTAAAGTATGTTATTATCATTTATATAACCATTGTAATTTCAGGTAGTCTGCAGCTGATGAGAACCTGTGAAATAGAATGATATCATTTTATACTGCAAATTTCGTCTTCCTTTCTTTATCGAAATTTTTCAAGGGTATCAATTATATGAGGTTTCAAGTTTCACCACAAAGTGACGCACGCCAGTAGGAGAACCATCACTGGAAATCATAGAGTGGTGGATATATCTTTCTGCCTAATTCAGTACTCTTCATCAGCACGCACTCGCCACCCCACTGCAAGAGGTCGAACTCAGAGCCCTCAGGTTACGAGACCAGACTGTTGATCATTCATACACACTGGGGCAGAATCCACTGGTCAACATGAATGCTAACTTTAGCTAGCCAAGGCCAGCAGTGAGTATTCTTCTGCACACACAACTTGGTGGAAACCAGTGTGGTCATGAACTGTCACCAGAACTTCAAGTAACTTCTGGGTTCGACCTCTAACGGTGTGGGGTCATGTGGACGTATTGATGAAGAGTCACAAACTGGGACGATGCAACCCTCCAGTACAGCCTGGTTTTCAATGATTCTCTAATTGATTGGGATCAAACTGTTTAAAAAAATCACCGAATATTTAGGATCATAGACATAGTTGTTTCTTCCTCATATGACACTCTGTTCACTGTGTGTGCATCTCATAAGAGAAACAGGTAAATCACTATGTCACTAATTAGGTTCCGATCCATTGGTTTACCACAAATCTAAACGTCCCCCCCTCCTCACCTCACATGGTGATTACAGATATTTCCAGTACTAAAAATTCACGTATCAGGAGGAAAAAGCCATCCATAGCCAGCACTATACTTGACTCGCCTAGCAGATATTGACTAAATACGAAATTGACTGTGAAAGAAATCAAATAAATTTACATAATCAATAATCTGAGGAGAATGACACGTATTTACATCGTTAGGGAATTCATCGTCATCAGCTCGACGCTCAATCGCCAAACACTGGTCGCCTCTCTCTCTATTATTGCATTGTTTCAGCCTACCACCACCAACCAACTAACTACCTAACCCGTCAGAGGATGAATCGCTTAGATTAGCTGACCTATAGGTAGAAAACTTGATTGTAATCAATCGATACTGATCACCCACCCCCTCCCCCCCCCCCGATTAATCAATACTTCCACCAGATGAATCAATAAAAAGCAGGACAATGAAATTATATAAAAAACAAAAAACTTTATTATCGAATAGTATTAGTAAAAGTAATAATAATATTAATAATAATAATAAAGGAATGATACAAATAAAAAGGTGTTGAGCACATTGAATTCGAGAGAGAGAGAGAGAAGGGGGAGAGATAGAGACAGCGGTGGGGTGGGGTAATAAAAACAGAATATTTATAATCGTCACGAACACATCATCGTCGTCGTCGTCACATGACAACGACAACAACAAGAGCACAAAACACACCGGTGATAAAATGCACGAATATCGATACAATTTAAAATATCGTTTATTCCTTGTGTTAATTATTATGATAAAACCATATGTGAGCACACCCACGCACATGCACACACAGAGTAGGTAACTGTAATGATAGTACACATGTAATTACAGCATTGTGATAAACAAACACCTTCCATAATCTTGCATGTGTGTGTGGAGCACAGTTGGGGTTGGAGATTAGTTATAATATATTGTAAGCTGTGTGTAAAATTCGTAATTTAAAAACAAAACAGGAATGTAGCGTCGTTATTCTTCTGATTATTATCGTTTCTAAACAAAAGGCATATGAGTTTGTCATTAGGATAAAATTAAGAAAATAAATAGAGTATTATTATTAGTAAACATGATAATTACCTAATCGTCAGTGAGTGAGTGGGTGGATGTGTAAAACACAAATATACACAGACGCGATGCAGTGTGGTACACAGAAGAAAAAAAAGGAAACGAGTGGAGAAACACAAAGAAGTATTCTGAGCGTCAATAAATACACACAAATACGCATATTCACTGAGTACAACACACAAAGATAGAGACAAAGAAATGGAGGAGGAGAAGGAGGAGACGGCGGCGGCGGCCGTGGAAAGAATAAAGGAATGAGGGGGGGGGATGAATGGAATTGGTTGGCGCTTTTTTTCTCTTTCTCTCCAGATTATTACAGTTCGATGTGTAGGCCTTTACACAACACAGTGAGAGAGGGAGGGAAAGAAGAAGATAACGGGGTAATAAAATGCTGATGCTGGCTTTCAACGGTGTAATGTAACTACTGCTCTTTCTCCCCTCCCCTCCCCATCCCAATCTTCTTTTCTCTTACAAACGCAAGAAAAGGGGGATGTGGTGTTGAGAACGGAAGAAAAAACGATGATAATAATAATAATAATAGTAATAATAATCCCCAAAGGGTAAAGTAAAACTTTACTCACTAACACCAATAAGATCAGTTTTCAGTTTGTTTGTCTATGTTTTTGTATGAGGTAATTTATGCTTCAACGCTGACGCAAGAGACAGACACGAAGAACATGAACTAACATAGCTACTCCACTCTCTGTGTACTTTTATATGTGAGTCCATCCTTCATATGATGTAATATATATATATGCATTATTATTGTCATGGAATTTGGGTGAATTTGTTTCTTGTGTTGTCACAGCATCATTCCATCCTGTTCATCGAATTGATGCCTCCTACTGTCGTCACTGTGGCACCCGATGCGCTCATCATCATCATCATCATCTTCACCTTCACCATCACACACACCACTATGGTCACCTCATTCTTCGACAAACAACAAAAGGACACTGTATAAAAAGGCAATATAAGAGTGACAATGAACACATTCTGAAAATTACTCATCAATGGCAGTAACAGTGATGGAAATTGAAAGAGTACAGAACAAAGAGTAGAGAGGAAGAGGAGAAGGAGGGCGAGAGAAACAAGTCGAATATAGAGTCGCATAAAAATATCAACAACAACAAAAATAGGCAACAACTAAAAATTATGGATTCGAGTTCAACATGAGCACAGATGTGAGCAAGTTATTCGGATACAGAGAGATAGATAGATAGTTACATACATACATACATATATGGATATATCCGTGCATAAGTGCACAACACATGAATCAGTACGCCCACGCAAACTTATACACACTCACACACAGGTCAGTAGTGTGACAGCAATACAAAAAGTAACTCAGGAATGAATGAACGGATGAAGAGGATTCGGAATTACATAATGTGTAATGTGTGTATAAAAAATGGACATTTTAAAAATGGAAAAATAACAATTACAATACTAATAGTAGTAATAATAATAATAGTGGTAGCAATAATAACAATATTAATTTGTAACAATCAAAACACAAAACAAATATAAACAAGGAGTATACGAGTACTCAAATTCACAAGAATAATATTAGTAATAATGATAATAATAGTAATAACAATATAAACAAATAAATGCTAAGTTAAAATACTATCTCCTTTCCCTGAATTTCTTGTCGACGTCGCCGTCATCGCCGTCGTTGCTGTTGTTGTTGCTGTTGCCGCACACGGATTACCACTACTGCTACTACTGTCCACTGTCATGAAGTAGACAGATTTCTCAGATGGTATAAAATATGAGGCATCATCAGTATTCCCTGAAGGTGAAGGTGGTGAAGAGGACAAAATAGGTGATGTAGAAACAGGGTGATGGATATTATGAACAGAAGAAACAGGCAGGAGGGATGTATCCATCTCTTCAATTGTATTACTGTTACTACTAATATTAGTAGTAGTATCAGTAGAAGGAATGGTAGTGGTAGTAGTGGTAGAGGTTGGATCACTTCTAGATATTTTACCAGGATGTATTGATGATTTCAGAGTACGTTTACGTCCACCACCACGTGGAGGAATAACAACCAGTTTCTCATTTTCCTCTTTTATATTATTATTATGATTAGACAAGTGGATTTCATTACTTGGCATAGAAATACTCTGACCACCGTCCATATTAGTATTAGTGGTAGCAATCGTTAATTCTGGTTGGTTATCATGCTCATCAGGAGTTGGTGTAAATGTCTCCGCCTTATTATTATCATCAATAGCAATAGTGCTGCTCCTACTACTACTGCTATTACTAAACTGTACCTTCTCCTCTTCTGTTGAATTATCCTCATTATTATTATTATTGGCATATTCATCTGACATTGCTGGAGGTGATGGTGAAGAGGATAATTGTTGTATTCTGTTAGTCTGATCATCAGAGGAATTAGAGGAAGAGGAGGCGGCGGATGCAATTGAAGATGAGCTTGACGATGATGAGGATACATGCTTGAAATAATCAATACTTTCCTCTGGTTTACCATTTTTACAATGTAGCTGATCATTATCATTATTATTAGAATTGATATTGTCTACATATGATGTATATGATGTTGTCCTTTCATCAACCATCTTGTCATCAGTTCCATCATGAGTACTATTATTATTATTTTCAGTGTTTAAAATGCTCTCATCGACTTTAATTTTATAATTATCAATATCTTCATCATTCATGTTGTTACTGTTGCTATGGTGATAGGATTGGTAGGATTGATGGTGGTGTGCTGAATTTGCTGTGGTCATTGTTGTAGATATTGGTGTCGGTGATGGCGGTAAGGAGAATCGTTGGTGAAGTTTTTGAGGTATTGCTTTAACTCTCATCTTTTTGGGTATCATCATTGTCACTTGGATGTCATCAGTATCACTGTAAAAATAATCTGGAGTAACACCGTTACTAACGACAGTAGCACTACTGTTGCTGCTGCTATTGTTGGCATTCCTGTGGTTAGTACTGGTGCCGAGATTATTATTGTTGTTGTCGTTGTTATTATTATTAACATCGGAGGCTTCAGGTGTATTTCCCTGTTCTTCTTGTTCTTGTTCGTGTTCTTGTTCTTGTTGAGATAGTTCTTCACCGACTGAAAGTAACCGACGTAAGGCTTTCACTTCCATACTTAATCCAGTCAATTCACTGCGTAGACAACGATTTTCACTTTGCAGTTTCTCGGCTACAACCTCTGTACGACTGTTGTGAACAACACCGGTGCCACCAAATCCACGACTACCAATGCCGCCACCACTACTGTTGCTACAACTACCTGACATACGTGCACGTTTATTTTCACGACATCGACGTACTGCTTCATTATTACGTCGTCGACGATCCTGATAACGTTTATCTACAACCATAGGATCGGATGTGATTGTTGAATCACTCAGGACAAAATCTAAAAGATGAGAAGAGAACAAAGAGAAGAAGAAGAAATTAGAATCGAACCGAACAGAAACGAACACACACAAACTGATGTAAAGTAAACACACTAAATCAATAACTGACTACGCTAGGTCGAACTGGTTACATGGCCTTAAAGTTAAGGAGAAACAAAGCAGTTATATCCACAAAAGATCGCCCATACATCGGCGGGGGAGGGTTATGAGTCACACTTCTTGTGTCTGTGAGAGAGATAATTATGCTACCCAATCCGTAAGTTTTAAAATAGGCAGAGAGAGTGGCATTCGAGCCTGAGACTCATCGAGCGAAAGTTAGCCATTTAAGCTAGTATGTGTGATAGGTATAGCTCATAAGTTTCAATGATACTTTTTATCGGTCACAACTATTACGAATCACTAAAATCCAGGGAATATCACCCCCACACGCCCATGACAAAATCTGAAAATATATCAACCCGTTGCAAATAACTGACTGACCGCAGGATCGACCTTCTGCAGTTGCAATGAAAGATCATAAACCGACGAAGTTCACCATCAAGTCTGGAGTATGAAACCAGATCACACTGCAATAATCGTCACCATCAACATCATCATGTGAATGCATTTTTCAAACAGTACCCCTCAACAACAAAAAAAGTTTTAAATAATGAATTATAATTGCTGTGCCTTATGTGTTTCAGTCATGAGTGGTGCGTATGTATCAACACTAATCTCTAGACACATTATTCATTAGTGAAATTGAAGTACAGTGATTCGTATAGCCATTACTATTGCCTACTATCACAGTATTGTTTACCCTTTTTCCTACGGGTAAACCACTTAACACAAATAATCAGGGGGGGGGGAAATAAAGCCTTTCTTTGTTCTTACCCCCCACCACCACCTCCTTTCCTCTGTCTCTCTATCTGTGTGTTGATCTTATCGTGTTCGCATATGCTGCATATACACAATCAATCTCATAGACATGACGATACTCATCGCGCAATCAATTTTTTGAAATATATAAAAACATCAGACCTTCTTTGTTCTCCTTACACACACATACAATAGATATATGTGTCATATCAACAGCAGATAATATATTTCTCTTATAATAATATTAGTAATAACACTGATACCAATCTGCCCCATGAAAAAAACATTCACAGTGCATGTCAATGTTGTAGGACATTGTTTGTTTTTTCTAAGCATCTCTCTATACCGTGATTATTCTCCATTGTCTATGTGGTGTGGAGGTGGGATATTATAAAAACACATAGAGAGAGAATGAAAGGATGAAAGAAGGACACCTTTAATATTTTTACTATTTTTAGAATATATATATAACTACCATCAATATACTGCAAGCACGGTACACAGTACTGCATCATTCATAGTACAACTAACTATTAGCAATAATTAATAACACCAAGGTTACAAACAATGAGTCATCATCTACAACCTGTGTTGTTATACACACTGGGCACATAAATATAATAATAATAATATCCAGACTGATAATTCTTCATTCAATATTCTTACTCTTATTATTATATTACTTACTATATCACTGCTTTATATGGTTTGAAATTACCAATATCACGACTAGACATGAATTGCGTAGGCGTCAGTTACAAAATATTCTGAAACAAATCTGATTGGCTCGCGATTTTTCGTATATATATACATATATATAGCCCGTAAAGTCAGATTGGTCTGATATCAGAAACCCAAAAACGAAAAGTAAATACAATGACGGGATGTGTTATAGTAACATATCGTCATAACGACGCTTATGGTAGCGTTAGTGTGTTGTTGTTCACGTAATCATATAAGTGATATCTGCTATTTAGATATTCACCAGGATTGCGTCTTGAACTCATTTGAAAACATGTAGACAGTACTGGACATTCATTTCGTCCCGGTCTAGGACTCTTCATCAGTAGGCACGCACCGACAGGTTCCGAAACTAGAACCTTCAAGTAGTTATAAGGCGAGCGAGCTCGTAGACCACTAAGCCGCTGGGAGCCGATCCAATGTCTAGTCCATGAATTCCAACTACTGCCAATTCACGATATAGTGCGACCACTACGAGCCAGTTTCATCGGCGAGTACTTGGCCTCACACCCGACCTGCTGTAACCCACTCACTGGTCACGACTTCCCACTAGAACTCTGCCTGAATAGGGTCAATGCACGATTCGACTCATAGTTCGTACCCCAGTGGGGGTGTACTGATGAAGAGTCCCGAACTAGGGCGAAACGGTTGTCCGGTACTCCTAAGTTTTCCAATGGTTCTTCAACCGATATCAGCCCATGATGAAACCTTCTAGCCAATTAAATCCCTGTGAACTAACACTTGAATATCAAATTATTGATTGGGAAAATATTCTCGGAGATCTTCATACTACTTGGACGAGGCTTCAGAGATACTGATAGTCTGTGACAGTAAATATTACTTCATAACCCCTATATCTTCGTCTTAAGTCTTCGAAATTAAACACATATGAAATTGCATTTACATTTTTTTTAATGCTGACATGAATGGCCTATTGCACGAAGAACTCTTAGTTCTCACTTGTGTCCACGTGACACTTATCAAAACTGAAGGGAATTTAGAGCTACGGTGCCATATTATATCATCACTGCAATCAATAGGTCGGTTCAAGTAAAACAGAAAACCCTTTGAAGAATTTAAACAAGACGATTGAGTGTGGTTCAGTGGTAAAACACACTTGCCAACCACTCACGTTGTCTAGAGTTCGATCCTTAACAACCGACGTACTCCTAAACTTCGCTGAGCCAGAGTAAAGAGGGGAGGTTGGACATGAGGTTAATTAGCAACCCCACCCCGTAAAAATGAAACTTAAAAACCCAAGCATGATGCTTTATGTTCCACTCCGGACATATATATAATATAATACAGCTGTGACCAATACGTGTTGCTGCGTCATCGTCTATGATGTGTGTCTGAACAAAAAATTTCCCTAAATGTGTGTTGTATGTGTGTACCATCATCCAGAGGGGATAACAAACACAAAACATACATATCCCTTGTGCTGACTAATCCAGTAAGAATTTTCGCCTTCCCAAGGTCGAATTTTGTTTTGTTTTGAGTTTTTCTCCTTTAGATGGAAGAACGAGAGAGAGATTAGAAACAACGAAAAAAGAGGAGAAAGGAACGCAAGTGTGTGTTGGTAGGATGATATTATAGGGGATAGGAGAAACTACTATACTATACATTATACCCTAGACACTTTTGATGGTTGACTAACCGGCTAACCGGCTGGATGGCTGGCTGACTGGTTAGCCGGTTGGTTAAACATAAACACACACACACACGTACAATACAAAGTATGTCTATCTAATTCAACTTGATGGAATGGGATGGAATGGATTTTTAAAAAAAAAAAGAATTTTTAACCAAAATAAATAAATAAGTAAATAGTTAGGAAATACGGTTATTTGCTACAAAAAATATTGTTGCCGTCGTTGTACAGTACACTTAACTGGACGTTTATACACACATGCATTAGAATACATGGGTGTGTGCGCGCGTGCGTGCGTACGTACGTGTACATACAGAGTTCAAGTACTTTTCATTCATTCACCCATTCATTGATCGTTAAAAATATACAGACACAGAGACCTTGACATTTCTATGATAGTAAATAGAAGTGAAAATACTGCCTCCCCGCCCCGCTCCCGCCACAAGGAAAAGACAAGGTAACCATACATAGCACACACACACTAGTACATCTTTTGCGCGCGCGTGCGTGCGTGTGTGTGTTTTGTAAAATATCCTATTTACCTTACTTTACTTTGCCTAGACAGGATTATCCCATTATCTCATTTGTTTTCCTCTCCTATGATAAAAACCAGAGAATTCTACTACTACTACTTATTGAATAAGAAGGATGTATGTATATGGATGTATGAAATATGACTTTGTCATTTTATTATTGTCTAGGCGCGCAATAGACAAAGGATAAACAATAAAATCAAATATAATATAAGAAGTTAGAAGACTTGGTGTATATAGGAAAATTACAGTTTTTTTGGTAAATACTATTGATCTGTATGGGTAAGTTCAGGCGTAGAATACTAGTCAGCCAGCTAGCCAGGCTGCAACCCCACCCCCCACCCCCGTACACAGGGATTGAGTGCCGAGTTCAAGTCCTGACCGATGGATGCACACTACTCTTTAAACCTCGCCTAGTCTACTAAGTGGTTAGGAATGGGGCTAGCAATCACTCGAAGTATAGATAACATAACACAGCTAGAGTGAGCTTCAAAGCTTGATACATGAAGGCCTACGTCCCACTAGAAACGCAAAGAAAGAGGTGAAGACACTGGTGATTTGATAATGAATAGTTGGAAACCACTTTCACACATCAACCAGTAATACTTGCTAGACAAACATGAATCAAGGTAGCTGGTTATACTTGTTTTATTCCTTGCTTTCTCAGTTGAATATGGGGTAGTTTCAAGCTCGCAAGTTCCTGCAACGGTGGTGTTGTTTTGCTTTGCGAGGTGAGGTTACTAGTCGTCTCACATCGAATCTTCTCAACCTTTGTACGACATACTATCGTATTCCTGTCTACTGCCTCTATTTTGCATTTCTTCTACTTTCTACTCTTACTTTGTGTGCTACATGGAGTGTGGTGACTCGAACTGCTGTACATTGGTGCGAAGTTCTATGTTAAAACCAGTGAGTTAGTCAGAATTAAATAAATATTCACGCGAGCTCATGTATTGATCATTTCATATAATTGCTTGATTAAAACAATAAGAAGCGTAGAAGAGTTTAAGCATTTTAATGGATGAAAATTCTGGTAGCCTAATGATTTAAGCAGGCCGCTGTGTTAAGCAGAGAGTCAGTAATACAGCCCAGCTGTCTAGCGTGTGTCCCACTAATTGATTTAATGAAACTGGCGTCAATCTGTGATCTAAACTTAAATCGATCGAATACCTACAAAAACCAAAACTTAGAAATGAATCTAATACATCTTAGTAGC